ATCCACTCAGGAGAAAAACCACATAAATGCCTGGAGTGTGGAAAGAGCTTCAGTCAGACAGGACACCTTTATACCCATCAAAGGATCCACTCAGGAGAAAAACCACATAAATGCCTGGAGTGTGGAAAGAGCTTCAGTCAGACAGGACACCTTTATACCCATCAAAGGATCCACTCAGGAGAAAAACCACATAAATGCCTGGAGTGTGGAAAGAGCTTCAGTCAGACAGGACACCTTTATATCCATCAAAGGATCCATTCAGGAGAAAAACCACATAAATGCCCGGAGTGTGGAAAGAGCTTCAGACATAGGAGCAGCCTTTATATACATCAAAGGATCCACACAGGAGAAAAACTATTTGAATGCCTGGAGAGTGGAAACAGCTTTACTGTGGGTGAACATCTTGAAAGGCATGTAAGAATCAACACTGGAGAGAAACCACATAAATGCTTGGAGTGTGGAAAGAGCTTCAGACATAGGAACAGCCTTTATATACATGAAAGGATCCACTCAGGAGAAAAACCACATAAATGCCTGGAGTGTGGAAAGAGCTTCAGTCAGAGGGGACACCTTTATACCCATCAAAGGATCCACTCAGGAGAAAAACCACATAAATGCCTGGAGTGTGGAAAGAGCTTCAGTCAGAGGGTACACCTTTATACCCATCAAAGTATCCACTCAGGAGAAAAACCACATAAATGCCTGGAGTGTGGAAAGAGCTTCAGTCAGAGGGGCACCCTTTATACCCATCAAAGGATCCACTCAGGAGAAAAACCACATAAATGCCCGGAGTGTGGAAAGAGCTTCAGACATAGGAGCAGCCTTTATATACATCAAAGGAATCACACAGGAGAAAAACCATTTGAATGCCTGGAGTGTGGAAAGAGCTTTACTGTGGGTAAACATCTTGAAAGGCATGTAAGAATCCACACTGGAGAGAAACCACATAAATGCCTGGAGTGTGGAAAGAGCTTCAGTCAGAGGGGACACCTTTATGTACATCAAAGGATCCATTCAGGAGAAAAACTGTATAAATGCCTGGAGTGTGAAATGAGTTTCAGTCAGAGGGGACAACTTTATGTACATCAAAGGATCCATTCACATTCAGGAGAAAAACCGCATAAATGCCCGGCGTGTGGAAAGAGCTTCAGACATAGGAGCAGCCTTTATGTACATGAAAGGATCCACACAGGAGAAAAAACGCATAAATGCCTGGATTGTGGAAAGAGTTTCAATCAGAGGAGCAAGCTTTATGTACATCAAAGGATCCACACAGGAGAAAAACCGCATAAATGCCTGGAGTGTGGAAAGAGTTTCAATCAGAGGAGCAGCCTTTATGTACATCAAAGGATCCATTCAGGAGAAAAACCGCATAAATGCCTAGAGTGTGGAAAGAGTTTCAATCAGAGGAGCAAGCTTTATGTACATCAAAGGATCCACACAGGAGAAAAACCGCATAAATGCATGGAGTGTGGAAAGAGTTTCAATCAGAGGAGCAGCCTTTATGTACATCAAAGGATCCATTCAGGAGAAAAACCGCATAAATGCCTAGAGTGTGGAAAGAGTTTCAATCAGAGGAGCAGCCTTTATGTACATCAAAGGATCCATACAGGAGAAAAACTACATAAATGCCTGGTGTGTGGGAAGAGCTTCAGTCAGAGGGGCACCCTTTATACGCATCAAAAGATCCACTCAGGAGAGAAACCGTATAAATACCTCCAGTGTGGAAAGAACTTTATTGAAAGTGGAGGTCTCCGTAAACATCAAAGAATTCACACAGGAGAAACTCTATAAATGCCTGGAATGTGGAAGGAGCTTCAATAAGGCAGGAACTCTGTATAATCAAAGCATTCACACAGGAGAAAAACCATATGTCTGGAGTTTAGCAGGTGTGAACACTTACCTTTCATTGCCATCTCATGAGTGTATACTATATTCTCAGCCCAAACACTGGAGTAAGTAAACTTATGGAAAGCACCATTTTACTGTTCCCTTTATTGCTACTCTCTGTTTAATGATTCTGCTGTTCTGTGATGCCTAATAGTTGAATTTGAATGATTTTACACACTTTTCAAGGGGTACGTAATCTGAGTACAACTGTATTCAATTCCACAAACTCGTATCACAATTTCTTCTGATTGGTGAGATTTCATCTTGAGATCCAGAAGCTGCTACTGGAATG